TTTATACTCTGTGGAGTTTCTGAACTTATCAGATGACAACAATTCGCACCAAAGTTTTCCATGGGCTCCTTTGAAGGCGGCCAGGTTTACAGAAAAACAGAACGGATTGCTGAGACATTCTAACGTGCAGTCAAACACATCAGACACTGCCACTGTTCCAACAAGCGGCACATTCAAGTATTGAAACTCGTGTTTAATGAATGTACGTCTCAGGAAGGTTCTTGTGGAGGAGGCGAGGTTGCCCTCGCGATACACAGGGTTTGATTCTGTAACAGGAAAGAAGAACAGTTCAGTAATAAAAGGACATGGACATGATGGCACCACTCACAGGAGGGAGTGGGGAGGAAGGGACTTGCTGGTTACAAGAATGGATAAAGTGGCCCATAAAACACTACCCCCCCCCCCTCCCCCATACCACTCAAAATAATTGATGTCTATCATAACTATGGGACTCTAGATCTTATGAACATTCATTTAGCAAAATCTGCAATGTAGGGAGATAAAAAACCATTTTGCTATGGTCAGTAGTAAATCAGCTTCATTAAATTGCAACGTTTGAGGCATACCCTAAAAAAAGAAAAAACCTTTTCAAGAATGGTTTCAAGGCCGATCAGTATCAGCCTTCGTCCTTCTCATTCATCTCCTCCCCTTCCCTCGCAGCTCTTTTCAATAATTTCGGGGTGACCCCTGCCTCTCTACAACTAAACCAAATTTTTAACTCTTGCCATATTAGGATGTTGTAGAGTACATCGAAGAGGTAACTGAGAATGGTGGAAAGCATAAGATATTTATAAAATCGAGTGATATTTTGAAGTATCGAGAGCTATGTAGGGTGATCCGTGCATTTTTTCTCTCGCTTTGTTTTCGGGACGATGCTCAGTTCTATGCCAGATTTGTTGTCATGGTTATCAGCTGATTAAACCAATTAGATATTTTAAATGTTTTACACGATATTTAGCCCTCTAGTAAAATATGAAGATATTTAAAAACATTCTGAGCATTTACAATAGGTGACGTTTGATTAGAGGCCGAAACGTGCTTTTAGATCATACAAGACCAAGGTAAACAGCCTTTAATAAATAATTATAACTTCCCCATAAATTTTTTGTTCTAACTGGAGGTAAATTTTGTCAGCTCCCTCGTTTTTATTCAGCAGCTATCCATTCCAAGTACCTGAAAAGTTAAAGAAATCTTGCGACACTGTTACTATGATACCTTTCTTGATTTTAGAATTCATAAATTTTGGCAATTGGAAGCAAAACAGATATTATTTTGTCAACAGCTTGAAGCTGTCTTAACATCTTGGGTCCCTTGACCTCCGCCAAATTTGATTAACAATTTTCCTCCTCTGTTGTCGCCAAACTCTGTTTGGTCCTCAGCCCAGGAGGCCCTAGATCAACTTGGGTAAATTCAGGCGATAATTTGCAAGATAAAGACGGATAACATGTAAAAAATTAAGTTTGGTAAAAAAAAGAGAAATTCGCTTCGTTGAACACTTAAAACGATCATATCGCAGATAGATTTTTCGCAGCCATTTCAACAAGCCATTTCGATTTTAATTTATTCAATATATTGTTCAGGAACCTCTCAAACATAAAGTTGTATTGTCTTACCTTTTCAGTTATCAACATCTGCCGTGTCATTTACCATAAATATACACGCATTTTGAGTGACTTTAATATATTTATTCACTGAGGTAACATTTTAGAATAACATTTTGCAATTAAAGTCACAAACCTTAAGATCGTAAACATTTCTAGCTCTTCGGTGCTGTAATGTTATCATTCGTTTGTGTTCCTCAGTATTAATTATCTAACTATAACAAACTGCTTCCAAACTTTCTTCGGAAAAATGAAGAACATCAATCAATGATCTGATAGACATAGGAATCGAATGTTTCTGCGAACCCAATTTTGGAAGTCTTTGATAAATTATTTTGAGCATGGCAAGGTCGAAAGCCTGTGGTAAACCTATGTAATTTTATCCAGGTTTAAAGGAGTGTAGCTGTTTTTTTGGCTACATTTAGAATTTAAATTGAAGCTGAATAAAGGCTTTTTCAATCAATGACTAAGCTTACTCTTGAAAAACATTTTTCGATATAGAGTGATGGAATGTTAATTGCATTTGACCAAGTTGAAAAGCTGAACGTTGGAGGGCAACAGATTGACTTGAACTATGCAACTTTATAACAGCAGATATATATGAAAGGAAGTTAACTAAACTTTGTGCCATTCAACAGCGTCCCAAATTATAAGTTATAATGCAAATTGTTAAAACAAGTTTCCTTAGAGCATTCAACGCCCATCACTAGCCAAGTGAAACTATAACAAAAAACAAAGACTGATCGAATTCTGAGAACATCTGACTTATATCCAGATTCTGAGTTGAGTTACTATAAATAACTGAATATTACCAACATCAATGTTCTAACACTGAAAACAAAAAGAGATACGCATTAGTAAACGCGTCTAACAAACCTTGTGAAAAGGCTGGATCTGGAATTAGAGCAGAGAGTTCAAATAGAAGGGGATAAAGAAGACCAAAAAACATGTTGAGAGGAGATCTCGTCGCTGATGTGAGATCTTTAGCCTTGCCTCTGATGCAACTGACTTGTTAGCGACTGGGATGTTGACTACAACCAATAGACTTTGAGCGATTCCAGCTGCTCCTAAGTTGTTGACGTACAAACCAGCACATTCCTTTGTTTTTGCAACAATGGATGTCTCAGTGCTATGATTAGTTTTATGAGAGCGGATGGGAATACGAGTCGAAAATCAGGTTTTTAAGTTGTTTTAGTTTTAAAATCCTATGACCCAATTTCCGCTTTACCTTTCCCATAACTCCAAAGAGGCATCATTTTCTAAATAGTTTCTGATGAGCTGATTGCGCAATGGGCATTCACTTACATCTATATAAGCTTGCAGTAACACCCGGTGGTTTGAGTTTGTTACTAAGGGCAACCCGAGTCGTCCAGATAAACAAGTCTTTGTTTTATAATTGGAATAAATTCCCAATATTCCGTATGAAAAAACAGGCCTCACGTGAAATGCTAAGCTAAAACTAAAAGCTTTGAAACCATGGATGCTGTAGAATGAGCGAAATCACATGGCCTGAAAAAATTTTCATGTTACCAGTATTGCAATCGTGGAAAACGTTGTATTAAACGTACGCCGTTCTAAATCGCTCACCTGAAATCTGAAAATCAACTCTGCGCACCGTCTGTCAAACATTTCTCCGTAATTCAGCCGTGACATTTTAGCTTTAAAACAAAAAAAAATCGTTTCCTAGCTCCCTTTCTCTTAATGGCATATTTTCCTAGAAAAATGATAATACTGCGAGTTAGATCTTTTAGGTGGCCATTAGGAGTACGAGAAAAGAGTTACTAATAATAAAGGAAGTGTAACTTGATAAGTTTTCCCGGGGACAAGTTTGCGACTGCAGTGTCAATGGAAAAAAAATTCGAGTACATCAAGGCCAGTTTTGTTGTGAGGGAAGTTGCTATTTCAAGAAAAAACTTGCCAACGAAAAATCAATTGACAGTGCAAATGACTTGGCAAGAAGGAAAATCAGAAGGTTTTCGTGAATCTCTGCGCTTTTTTAATTTTTAATAGGTTGTGATGATGGGTTCCTATTTACGTGTTAACTCAATAATTTACTAAGAGAACTTTGAAATAAACATACCGTGTCCGTGATCACACAATATGGTTACCACTTTAAACTTTTTAATCATCTGTTGCATTTCCACAACCCAAAAATTAGGATATCTAATGAACGCGAGTGTGTTTCGTGATTCATGAGCCCAAGTGATGTCTTTAAATTAAAATGTCTCGAAGGACTTGATGTGTAGAGTTGACTCAAAAAAATTTTCATGATAAACAAATTCGGTTCTAATACAAGCTTTTCGACAAAACTACTTATCATTTGCCATCCGAGCTGAAATAGTCCCAAAATTACCTAGAAAGCTTATTTCGAAAACAAAAAAAATCGGTTTTAGATTCATCCGTGCCTTGTAAATAAAGAGATCGACATCTAGAATTTGCATTGGAAATTATCTGTGGCGTTTCTGTAAGACTTGCGAGAGCATTCTATTATCTTAGATTTCCTTCAGCTCAAGATCAAGAAAAAATAAAGGTCCCCTTACTTTTAGTTGTCAAAATTTAAAGGGCATACCCCAAACCTTAAACAGGCAAATTTGGTTATTTCCAGGAAAAAAGAGATTAACCCCCACCCTCCCCCCCAAGGTTTTTCTTGATTTTCACCATGGAAATCGCCTCAAATAGGTGAAATGCATGAAGCTCTCAATGCGATGTATTTACCTGATTACTCTGAAGGTTTGCATACGTATTGTACATCCTTAATGAATGTACGACTTGAGTATCAGTCAATTTGGTTGCCAGCTTGTCAATCAACAGAGGCAAATAAATGACTGAGTTTTTAGACTTTTCGCTTTATCCAAATATTTGATAACTTTGAGGTCGATTATCTCCCCTTGCCAGACAGTTACAACAATAGCTTTAATTCCCCTTTATAATACATCATTTCATCTCTGAAAAGCATCAAAAAGATCTTTGGATACTGTCGTATTTTTGTCTAGGATGCCTTTTAAAATCTGCCAATGTGACAAGGTTCACCTAGCTACACCTGTCACGCAATTCCGGTCCTAGGCGGTCACTTGAGCAAATAAACCTACATTCTATATCTCTTTATACAAGATAATTGATCAAGGAAGCCAAGAAAATGTGAACGACTTTCGAGAGTTTTGTTAGGAATGGAAAATTTCACGTTTAGAGAGATGTATGTGGGCGAAATGTTGATGGAAAAATCGTAGCGTTTCTTTCTTCTGTCGTTTATCACTTTGGAGAGTTGCTGAAATCAGCAAATATGGCTTTTGTATGGAACAAAACACTCATTAGTCTATGATTTGATTATTTATTAGCATTATCGAACAGTTTACAATAAGGAATCTGTGAGAGGAAAGGAGATTTTAAAGTGACCGAGGTGTAATAATCAATAGCCGCATTTCAGAAGTCTTCAGAAAGAAAATATTCAGCCTTCAGAAAGCTGTCAAGAAAGCTAGTAATCGTGGCGGAAGGCAATTAAATGCACTTCTTAGCAATTTGGAAGCGGGCCCTCGGTATCGATTTAAGGTGTATTACAACGAGGTTGATGTGCATCAGCTTAAAGATGAGAACAGCCAGTTAAGGGGAGAAAAAAGAAAATTAGAAGAATCGTTGGTACAGGAGAAGGCAAAGCGATTGCGAGTGGATGAAAAAGCCCGAGAAGCTCTCGAGAAAGCTGAGAAGAAAGGGGCCTTCTACAAGAAAAAATTTATTCAATTGGCCAAAAAAGTGATTAAAAATGGGAAAAAAGGTAGAGGCCCTGCTAAGAAGAAGTTTAATGACTATTCTAAGCACCATCAAAAGAGAATTAAAAACCAACTGAAGGACGAGTGCCAAACTACACTCTCTTTTCTTGGGCTGTACAATTTTGTTGCAACCAAAATTGAAGTCCTCAACACTGAGACTAATCAATATGAAACTTTCAATCTTGTTGGAGAGGGAGAGCTACCATTTACAGAGTCTGACCCAAAGGCCCTTGATAATGATGACATTGATAACATAAATATGTGGCTCTACCTCAAAGATAAATTCAATATTTCAAATGAGGCCTGGCATGAAATTGCCATTAAGGCTAATGGTCTCCCCAATACATATTCCATCAAGAAGCGAATTAATGAGCTAAACAGTAAATGGAACTTGAAACCAACACCAGGAGATGCTGAAGGTGTTCAGTTAGGATTTGCAGAAAGTTTGCAAGAGCACATTGTTAGGCTTCAGAAGAATGGAGAAATTAATGATGGAGAAGCTATTAAGATCAAGCTTAGCGGTGATGGTACAAATATTGGAAAGCGGCTTACAGTTGTCAACTTCACATTTACTATTCTCAACGAAAAGGATGTGGCAATGGCTGAGAAGGGAAATTATGTACTTGCTGTTATAAAAACTACAGAGACATATCATAATCTGAGAGACAGCCTAGCAGACCTTCAAATGGAAATGGCAAACTTAAAGGAGATAAGTGCAAATAATTGCACCTATAAAATTGAATACTTTTTAGGTGGAGATTTGAAATTTTTAGCACTGGTATGTGGTTTAGGCAGGGCAAATGAGGATTATGCTTGTGTGTGGTGCAAGTGTCCCAGGGAGCAACGGTGGGACACAAGCAAAACATGGTCAATTAATGACCCCAAATTTGGTGCTAGAACTGTTGCCGAAATAGCAAGGTTTTCCACTGAAAAGAAATTTAACTGTAAGGCACAACCATTATTTGATTTTATACCTATGGACCATGTCATCATAGATACATTACATCTTTTTCTGAGGATTTCAGATGTTTTGATTGACTTGTTCATAAGAGAGCTAAGAAGAAGTGATGCTATTGAGAAAAAAAAAACCTTCTCTGATGGATTCCCGAGAGATAAATATAAACACATGGCATGTTACGAAGAATATATCACAAGTATGGGAATCACTTTTAATTTTAGAATCAACAAAGAGAGCAAAAAGCTGGAATATAGAGATCTTACTGGACCAGAAAAGTTGAAACTGTTTCAGAATATAAACATCCCTATGCTTCTCCCTCACTGCAGTCACAACAAAGACATACAAGTGATCTGGGCTAAATTTATGGACATAATTGGTGATTTGAAGCTAGATTTTACATCTGAAGAGGGTATTCTTGAACTGCAAAGAAATATCAAATCATGGTTTGAGCACTTTCTCAAAGTTTACCAAGCAAAAGATGTCACTCCCTACATGCATGCACTATGTTGTCATGTTCCTGAGTTCCTGTCACTTTATCAGAACATAGCATATTACACACAGCAAGGCTTGGAAAAATACAATGATAGAGCTTCTAAAGATTTCTTCAGATCCACAAATCACAAAGGGGTTGATGCCCTCAAACAACTGTTTCTGAAGAAAAACAGGATTCAGTTCCTGGAGGCAGCAGGCTATGAAAGGGTTAAGAACACCTACAAATGCAATAACTGTTCAAACAAAGGCCACAACATCAAGACATGCACATCTTCATGCAAAAATTGTCCAGCTCCAATTTGCTGTGCACATCTTGTGAAGGAAGGTGGCAAATGGATTCCCAGATGCCAGCTTCAATATTAACCAGAGTTAGTTTAGTTTTAGTAAGTTTTGTTAGTTTTATGTAATAAAATATGTCATTTGGTTTACGAGGAAAGATTTCCTGACCTGATCTTGCCTTAGTTTGATCATAATGTTACTCAGGATCAAAAAATTTAATACTTCTAGTACCCTTAAATATCACCTTTAATTTCTTTGCCAAAATAGGCCATTTTACAGTTTATTCAGTAACCTGGCCCATGAATTAACTAGCCTGTATTAACACAAGAAAAGCAAAGGGGTTTGTATCAAAACAAGGTCACCAGCAACCTCACTTCCAGCCATAAGCCAGGTGACTCTGTAAAATAATGTAACTGTAAAATAATATTGGAACTTTTGATTGTGAATCTCAAGTTTTTGGCCAAGATGCTACACAGTGTTTTAACAATGGATTGTTATTTCATCTGTTGGCATGGTAGTTGTTCCTGTTACCATCACCTCTCACAAACTGAAATGTAATAAAGTTGCTGTTTTCAACTTCTGTTCTAGCATATTGTTCCCCGATGAGCTTGTATTCAATGATTGGACTTCTTTGTCCCAGCCAATACTTAATAGTTCCTGGAATTACATAGGCAAAATCTCCAGCTAGATTTAAAATTCGTTCATCCCACTTCAGCCCCAGATATGAATCAAGCACCCTATTTGACTCCAATTGGTAAACCATCTTCCCTCTTTGAAGAACGCCGGGCAAAACACTCCCAAGACCTTCCATGAAAACATCTTGGTCAACATTAAGGTCTATGTTTATATCAGGGTCCTCTCGCCGTCCAGACCAAAGCTTTTTCTTTATTTCACGAGCAAGTTGGCCATGGAACGATTCTTTTCTATCCTCTAGAGAGCTTTCCGATGGAATGAACAGCTTTTCGCTGCGAACAAACGGAAAGTATCCTGATCCTCCATCGGCCCCGAAGGGTCTCCATTCATCGAAGCATGTGCTATAGCCAACGTAATGAATTTTCAACCTCTTGTTGATTTTGTCAACCTCCCTGATCTCAATATCATACAGTTTTGTATCTTTCTTTCGTGGATTCGCCTTTCTAACGGGGGTGTATGTTGCGTATTCATTGAAAAATCACTTTGCTTTTTTTATTTCCCTCTTTGGCCTGTCTGCCATTTTGAAAATTCGCAACGGAGAGCATACGTATTAGGTGGGGTTAGTGGTCGCGTACAACTGGAACCGAGAAAAACAAATGTTCGTCGCGCTGGGGAAAGAGTTTGATATGTTGAGTTCCCGTGTGTAACAACTTCGGCTTTTCCAGACTGTGAACCTTGCTCATCGCCCTTTTGATGTTAGTAACCTAGAAAAGCGAGAACATAAAAATTTTCTAGAAAAAAAATACGCTGGCACGCGCGCCAACTTTCAGCAAAAACCCTATGAGCCTTCTTAATAATAAACACATAACAAACCTTGAGAAAACGCGATGTTTGACATCTGAGCAGAGAATTGAACTAAAACGGAAAAGACAAAAATGAAAAACCTTTTTGAAAGGATTGAAATCTTCTCGTCAGTAAAGGAAAAAATTGTAGCTTT